TTAATAATTTTAATAATTTTAATAATTTTAATAATTTTAATTTTCCGGGAGCCTGTCAGGGCAGAAATTCATAATTTTCATAATTTTAATATTTTTTCTAATTTTAATTTTCAGGGAGCCTCTCAGGGCAGAAAAGAATAATTTTAATAATTTTAATAATTTTAATAATTTTAATAATTTTAATAATTTTAATAATTTTAATAATTTTAATAATTTTAATAATTTTAATTTTCCGGGAGCCTCTCAGGGCAGAAATTAATAATTTTAATAATTTTAATTATTTTAATAATTTTAATAATTTTAATAATTTTAATAATTTTAATAATTTTAATTTTCCGGGAGCCTCTCAGGGCAGATAATTTTAATAATTTTAATAATTTTAATAATTTTAAAAATTTTAATAATTTTAAATGTACTTTTTTAGCTTAGAATCAGTAAAAACTGAAAATTTGCTCAAAGAATCCTACAACATAGTAAAAAATCGCAAAAATTGACCAATTTTGGGGGCCCGTGTAGTATAAAATCAAATAAAAAACGGTACGTGAGAATGCCTTCAGATGCAGGAGAAAAGAGTACCCAGAAACCGCGGTATCATCTCCAAAAAATGACAAAAACACACCGTACTCTCCTACGCGATCCTACGCGCTATCCTGCATTCCTTCCTCTTTGTCTTTGGTTCGGAAAAGAAAGGAACGGCTACCAGCCTCCCTCCCGACTTACATCTTTACATTCTCTTGTTTCGTCCTGCTCACCCGGAAAGAAGGTCTGCCTCCAGTCTTTCCTCGCCTCCCTGCTCACTATTATGAGTTCCTTTCACTTCTCTTCTGTTGCTTACATTCTTCTCAAAAGTGTGAAAGGTGCGGGGGACATCCCTTTCACTTTGTCTCTTCTGGGGAAATTCCCAATTGCAGGAGGCTCTCTCTCCTTGTCTTTGTTCTGTGTTCATATAGGGAATGAAGATAGAAGATGAATAAATAAGAAAGAATCAAGTCTATAATGTCCTCTATCCGTGTCTCTTGTGATTTCTTCAATTCCTATCTCTGCAGATTCTTCAAAATGGAAGGCGGACTTCTTCCTCCAACCAAAAGCGACCTTCTCAAAAAGAAGACAAGAGACGAACATCAATCACCGGAACCTGACTCCTAATCTCCTGTGTTTCCTTGCCTCTTTCCTCGCTATTCTCTCTTCCTTTCTTCTCTCCCGGTGCTTACATTCCCATCAACATGAAAATTGAGGGGGCAGCGCATCCCTTTCCTTTCCCCATCAAAGAAAGGCTGCCTTCCTATCCGCGTATGTTCTTCCCTCTTCCTTCCGAAAAGACTATAAGAGGTAGGGGTAAACAGAATGAAAGAGGAGTCTCCTGTTGCTTTCCGACTACCTTCTCACCACAAAAAGGAACCTTCCCACTCTTCCCTACTTTCTTTCTTTTATCTTTTTGCACTTTACGTTTCCCGCTGAGAAAATGAGACGTTTCCCACTGAGAAAATGAGACAATGATGACAATAAGGAAAAAAGATCACCTGCCTGTATTTTCAGACCTGTCCGCTGCATCTTTTCCCTTTACATCGCAGATTGAAGGAAAGCAAAAAAGTCAGAGGGAAGAATCCCTTTCCCTACCTTTCCCAGTACATTCCTTGTGCTTTCCATGTTCTTTGGAATTGCTTTGTTCTTCAGCAAGGAAAAGCGCAACTTCCCTCTCAATTTCATGTTTCCATTTCTCCGATGTCTTTTTCATTCAAGAAGCAAGCGGAGGGGCTGCCTCCTGTGTTTCCTTGCCTCTTTCCTCGCTATTCTCTTTTCCTTTCTCTTCTCTCTTGGTGCTTACATTCTTATGAAAAACGTGAAAGTTGTGGGGGCATCCCTTTCGCTTTCTCTCTTCTGGGGAAATTCCCAATTGCAGGGGGCTCTCTCTCCTTGTCTGTCTTCTTTTCTCATACATAGGGAAAGGAGAAAGAAGATGAAGAACTAGGAAAGAATCATTTCCACACATTCCTCTATTCCTACTGTCCGGAGATTGGCAAGCTTTCGGAAGCTCTGGTCTCTAGTCACGCCTGACCAAAGTCAACTTCCCGTGCGTGAGGGCCATATGTGAGGGGCCAGGAGGGGGGCAGAAAGTCCGGAATATGGTAGTGTTTCGAGTTTCAAATTCGTTTCCATAGTTTCAAATTAGTCTCAAGTCAGTTTCAAACTAGTTTCAAAATCCAGTTGAAATATCGCTGTTAAGGAGGAGCTGCAATTTCTGTCCGCGCTTGTTGAAAACCAGAACCTCTAGAGATTCCTGCATTTTTTGCAATTGCGCGTAGAAAAACGCAGTTTCCCCTTAACAACGAATTCGCAACTGGATTTTGAAACTGTTTTGCAACTAGTCTGAAACTACAGAAACGAATTTGAAACTTGAAGAACGCAGCATTTCTGCTCCCTGGCGCTTGGCCACGCCCAAGCAAGAGGAGGCTAGAAGCCGCGGCTCGCGAAACCAGCAACAACTCTTGCCAAGGCAGCCACGCAATCACAAGTCAGTAAATTATCTTGTCTGAGACTGTGTCTCTTCTGAGTTGTTCTATTCCTTTCTCTGCATCCTTTCTTCTTCTCACTTGTCCTTTCACTTTTCTTTTGTCTCTTCTCACTCCAACCAAAAGGGAAATCGCAAGGGAGTCATATAGGGAAAGGAGACAACGTGAAGAAATAAGAAAGAATCATTTCCATATTGTCCCCTATTCCTGTCTCTAAATCTGCAGATTTTTCAGAATGGAAGGAGGGCTTCTTTCTCCCTCTCACTTTTCCTTTCGCTTTTTTTTTATATTTTCTCACTCCAACCAAGCAGACAAGGGAGAGGGGTGAGAGATAGAACGCCCTTTACCTTCTCAAAACATAGAGAGGTGACGAAAATCAATCACGGAAACCTATCCTGCCTTCCTTCCTCTTTGTCTTTGGTTCGGAAAAGAAAGGAACGGCTACCAGCCTCCCTCCCGACTTACATCTTTACATTCTCTTGTTTCGTCCTGCTCAACCGGAAAGAAGGTCTGCCTCCAGTCTTTCCTCGCCTCCCTGCTCACTATTATGAGTTCCTTTCTCTTCTCTTCTGTTGCTTACATTCTTCTCAAAAGTGTGAAAGGTGCGGGGGACATCCCTTTCACTTTGTCTCTTCTGGGGAAATTCCCAATTGCAGGAGGCTCTCTCTCCTTGTCTTTGTTCTGTGTTCATATAGGGAATGAAGATAGAAGATGAATAAATAAAACAGAATCAAGTCTATAATGTCCTCTATCCGTGTCTCTTGTGATTTCTTCAATTCCTATCTCTGCAGATTCTTCAAAATGGAAGGCGGACTTCTTCCTCCAACCAAAAGCGACCTTCTCAAAAAGAAGACAAGAGACGAACATCAATCACCGGAACCTGACTCCTAATCTCCTGTGTTTCCTTGCCTCTTTCCTCGCTATTCTCTCTTCCTTTCTTCTCTCCCGGTGCTTACATTCCCATCAACATGAAAATTGAGGGGGCAGCGCATCCCTTTCCTTTCCCCATCAAAGAAAGGCTGCCTTCCTATCCGCGTATGTTCTTCCCTCTTCCTTCCGAAAAGACTATAAGAGGTAGGGGTAAACAGAATGAAAGAGGAGTCTCCTGTTGCTTTCCGACTACCTTCTCACCACAAAAAGGAACCTTCCCACTCTTCCCTACTTTCTTTCTTTTATCTTTT